CCTGGGCGCTGTCCCTCAGCTCTTCAGCTCAAGGCTAGCACTCTACCACTTGAGCCACAGCACCACTTCTGGCTTTTTCTTTTTGCTTATGTGGTGCTGAGGAATCAAACCCAGGGCCTCAGGCATGCAAGGCAAGCGCTCTACCACTGAGCCACTTTCCCAACCCCTCTTTCACTTTCTAAGTCTTTTTTTTTTTTTTTCCTGGTTCTGGGGTTTGAACTATAGGCCTGGGTGCAGTACCTGAGCTTCTTTTGCTCAAAGCAAGTGTTCTACCACAGCACCACTCCTGGCTTTTTGAGTAGTTTCTTGGAGATAAGAGTCTTTCCTTCCCAGGCTGGCTTGGAACCATGATCCTCAGATCTCAGCCTCCTAAGTAGCTAGGGTCACAGGTCTAAGCCACCAGCACCTAGCTCCTAAAACAATTTCAATAGGTATAAGGCATTTTCACACATGAAAACACTTCAGCCGCCGGGCACCAGGGCTCAGGTCTGTCATCCTAGCTACTCAGGAGGCCGAGATATGAGGATCTCGGTTCAAAGCCAGCCCGGGCAGCTTATCTCGAATTAACCACCAGAAAACCAGAAGTGGTGCTGTGGCTCAAGTGGTAGAGTGCTCGCCTTAAGCTGAAGAGCGCAGGAGCAGTGCCCAGGTCCAGAGTTCAAGCCCCACAACCAACCTAAAGAAAAAAAAAAGGGAACACCTCAGCCATGTTCATCCACCAGTTTTTTTGTGCCACACTGGGGCAGTTGATTTCTGGGTACACCTGCTATACAAGATCCTGACTCAGGCTGTGTGGCCATATCTTCTAACGCCCTGGGTGGAAAGTCCCTGGAAGTCAGGTTGCTGCTTGTTGGAGCTGTAGGAGGGGAACACCTGTGGAAGCAGACAAAGGCCACCTCAGTAAGAATGGGCAAGGCTGTTTACTGCGGGTTAGCTGTGTGGGCAAAAGCTAAGACAGGCAGGGAAGGGGAAGCTGCTTGCCTGGCAAAGAGAAGGTTGCCCAGAGCACAATTCCTTGCCTGTCTCTGTAAACCAAGACGTCAAAAATAAAATGGTCAGGCTGCGAATGTGGCTTAATGGCAGGGTTCTTGCCTAGCAAGCACGAAGCCCAGGTTCGATTCCTCAGTACCAAATACACAGAAAAGGCTGGAAATGGAGCTGGGACTCAAGTGGTATAGGGTGCTGGCCTTGAGCAAAAGGCAGCTTGGGGACAGCGCCCAGGCCCTGAGTTCAAGCCCCGAAACTGGCAAAAATAAATAAATGGTCAATTCAAACTTTTTTTTTTTTGGTCAGTATTGGGGTTTAAACTCTGGGCCTGGGCGCTGTCCTCAGCTCTTCAGCTCAAGGCGAGCGCTCTACCACTTGAGCTACAGCGCCACTTCCGGTTTTCTGGTGGTTTATTGGAGATAGGAGTCTCA